AAACGGAGCAGAGAATGTAAGGAAAGGGTATATGGATGCTGTAATCAGAGCTCGGATTACTTCGATGCACGGAAAGGAGACACGCTCCTCTAAAACTCGGGAACGGTTTTCGAAGCTGAGGCAGTGTCAGGCCTGAGAAGGACCCTCCATGTTGGATCATCAGAGTGTCGGCTTTCCGTCAAACCTCTACATTCTCTCCTTGTTGGGTCTTTGTTTAGCATATAGGACTTTACACAAGTGAGCAGAGCATCTTTTTCCCTCTCTGACAAACCCCAATCATCGCAACAAGCCGTCTCTCAGAGTGTCTCAGACGACTCTTTAGTATTTAGTTGGTCACACCATGTGGTCTACTGACAGAACTGAAATCGTGGTTATTGTAGAAGAGACTTGGCACTTACAACGACACACAAAGAAAAGCTCACAGAACACTGTGCACCTTTCGGCTTTTACACGGGCCTGGCCGGGGGTGGCGCTCAACGGAGGGCGAGCTGAAGCACATGCGTGGCTGCAAACGAACAGAGCGGGGTGCGAAAGCATGCTTGACGGGATCAATTCGTTATCACCTGAAACGGACTTTTTCAGACTTCAGCGTGCACTCCTGTGATCGCTCTGCTCCTCTTTAGAGGTCTCACTAATCAGTGTGATGATAGTGATTCTGCAATGGGACGTGCCGCCTGATAAGGCATGAACGAACGAATCACTCTGTCATTCTCTCGAGTCACACGATTGTGTGCTTGCCTGTCAGTCAACAATCAATGATGGATCATTGTCATTCATTCATCCATTCATTCATTCAGTGAATCACTGCATCACTACAGACAACCCTCCTCGGTTGCTTCGCTTGGGAGACGGCCGTGATCCTGGCCGTACGTATACAGGTATTTGTACGAATGTGTACCCTCCATAAGGTATACGTACACCTCCCCCCGCCGGGGCAGCCGACGCCCTATAAAAAAACACCCACCACCTCCCTCGTCGGCTGCCCCGCCGGGGCAGCCGTGGGCCCATGGCCGGCCACCTCGTGGCCAGTCAGGCCAGGATCACGGCCGTCTCCCAAGCGAAGCAACCGAAGAGGGTTGTCTGAAGTGATGCAGTGATTCACTGAATGAATGAATGAATGATTTGAATTAATTGCTTAACTGACAAGCAAGCACACACTTATGTGACTCGACTGACGCCCTGTCATTGCGGAATGGCAAAGTGTTTTGTGCTCGCGTCATGGCTCGCGTCGTTTGTGAGTTTCGCACAAGCACTTCACTGCAAATGCGTCGCATTCGATTCATTGGGGCCTGTAAGGGCTCAAGGCTTGCCTGACGCTGGCAAGGAGTCTGTTTTATGATGAGAAAAGGTCCGTTTCAAGACGGCGCAGGGCGATGGCCGCTGGCGTTCACACACAGCATGACGGGGATGTATCAGACATACATGCTTTTGCATCGAATGAGTGAGAGTCCCGAAAGAAATCAGCACAACGCCGAATTCTGAGCCCGCCTTGCAAAGTCCCTCGCGCTAATCCAAAACAACAGTGCAAGTACCGTTGGGTGGCGGTTGAAATTTGAGAAAGCTTTTTGACAGCGTCGTAGCTCTGGCCGCTTGCGTGTGAATTCAGCACAGCGAGATATATGTATGCAGTGACACACTTATATTGAGTTCGCTTTCACACATGGGTCTCTGTCTCAAACGGCGCAAAGCAGCGTGCAGACAGAGACTGCAAAACGTAGAGTACATGTGCTTGGCATGGCATTAATGAAAGAGAGTGTGCAATGAACTGGGGTCGGTACACACAACCAAGTTCCGTGTAACCGACACCCGTCTTCCCATTTTTTCACACAATGATACGGTCATAAGCAGTGGCCGCGTACGTGTGAATACAGCATAGCGATATGTTTCATGCATTAACACAATCGTGCTGGTTTAGGTCCACAGCTGTGCCCACGTTCGGTGCCTCCTTCTCTTTCTCAAGACGGCGCAGGGCGATGGCCGCTGGCGTTCATACACAGCATGACGGGATGTATCAGACATACATGCTTTTGCATCGAATGAGTGAGAGTCCCGAAACAAATCGCCGAATTCCGTGTAACCGACACCAGTGCGCTTGCCGCCTTTTACCCGAACGACAGAGCGCAATTGCGACTAGAACCAGAATCGTCTCTGGCAGCGTCCGTGGGCATATATTTCATCAACCGGATCGACCTTGAAGCGTGTGCAAGGAGATTGCGGTGGAGCTAGCAATGAGCAAGTTTTCAGCGGCTATGGTCTCCTTTGCGGGGACGAAGAGCGACGGCCGCTTGCGTACGAAGAGACCGTAAAGCAGTGTAGCGTGGACGATGCATTGTGTGACTGATGGTTGATGGCTGTGTAAACTTTCAGTGATCCGTTCTTTTTCACGAAACCAAAAGCGATGCGCGCTTGCGTGTGAACACAGTACAGCGAAATCTATCATGCATTGACCCAGTCGTGCTGATTTGGGTTGACGGCACCGTCAACTTTCGGTGGCTGGTTCTCGTGTTTCACGGAGCGCACAGCGATAGCCGCTTGCGTGAGGACAGAGCAAACGAAGGAGCACTCACACACAGACTTGCGCGGCGAACGCACCAGAAACCCGAGAGAAAACAGCCGAAAACCGATTTTCCGGGTTTTTGCCGCCGTTTTCGCGCGAACGCGTGAACGGATTTGAACCTCGAAGCAAACTCGTTCCTCGCAGTGACCCCCTCCACAGATATCCGAAGACAGATCTTGAAAAGACCCCCTAGAAAAAAAGTTGGTTCGTCGCCGGAAAACTGGGACATGATAACCACACCAGCTCAGCTTTCAGCTAGAGCAAGATCCGTAAAACTGATCTGAGCTGTCTTGTGCATTCACTTTCATCACCATCTCCCCGATCTCCCTCTTACTCCTTCCCTGTGTTTTCTCCCTTCCTTAACTCACTGGCCATTTTGGAGGCAATCTTCTTCACGGCCCCCCAAAAGCACCAGCTGGGGGAGTTCAAGACCCCCCCAAAAGCACCAGAACGGGCCGTCAAGCAGATGAGTCGATCCTCCCTCATTGAGTGGAGCAGTCATCTGTATACGCATGTCTATGTATGAGTGAGTGATCGAGAAGCAGTGAGCGGCATCAGAGAGAAGCACAGCACACCACCATCGCCCATTCTCATCGTGTCTCGGTTGCTTATCGCGTGTCTCATTCATGTGACAAAGCAATCACCACATAAAGCAATCATTCCCGTCAAGCAATCAGCCCATCCCGATCACCCTATTCACAAGCAAAATGAACCGCATAAACCATTCACTCATCAGCCATCCAAACCGACAATTTCATGGCTCAAAATGACCGCAAGACACATGAAGCACCCCTCTGTGAAAGAGCGGACCGATGAAAGAGTGAATTAACGGAGAAAGACAGACATTTTGATTGTCATCTTCTGAGATGAACCATTCTCGATGGCGATTTGCGACGAAAAAGCGACTTGCGTGACCGAGCTTGCCACGATGACATAAACGGAAGAGCAGCTGCTTCGCGCTTGCGATGCAGCAAACGCCCATTGGTGACTTACAGTGGGCCTCGGATAAGTGGAACCGTGCTTAAATGGGAAAATCGTTAAATGGGAAAATCCCATTTCGCAACCGGTTCGCCCCGTATGTGAAAAATGGCGGTTGCCTGGGATCTCCGGCGGTGTGGCTAGTGAGTGCCGCACTGATGCAGTGATCAAACTTCATATGGGCACCATCGGGCTGCGATCCTTCCCTGTAGCGTTAGGCAAGGAAAACGTTTTACGGACAATCAAGCTCGCAGGATGAAAGCAAAGCAGAGTGCCGCAAGCAATTTTGCGAAGCAAAGTCGATGCAGAGGGATGCTCTGAGCAATCCCTGCGTCACAGGCTCCCAAAATACCCACTCACCGCTGAGATCGGCCGCCCCTCTCCCCACTTGTACAGAAGATCGGCCTGATCAGTCGTGAGCATGTCGTTCCGACGCTCACCGACACCCTTGGACGACGCCTGACACATCGGC